ACAAAGACAAGCAGAAAACACAAAAACAACTTAAATGAAAAATCCTAGGCAGCAGTAGTGAGTCCTAGACCCAGGGTTTGGGGACCCAGTCTGTGTTCCTCACATATAACTGTGTGTGCCACACGAAAGTTCTTCCCTATCTGTGGGGAAGAAGATGTGTGCAAGCTGGTCTGGGTGGGTTTCTGCCATGAGATCCAATAAATCCATGTCAGCCATTGGTCCATCCCTTCTCAGAAAATACTTCCTTTTCCTTTGAAAAGGTTTATCCTCTGGATCTCATTTCTGCCTAGTTTGTATGGCAACGTCTCCAGAAACCTGAGCTTCATTTTCTTGTGTGTGCTTGTTGTGACATAGTGATGTTTTCCAAGTTTAAAAATATGCTCTCATTAGTATGCAGGCTTTGCAACCTATGGGCAACCTTGTGCAAGGTGGTGAGAGTTTGTCTCACAGATTATTCTGAGCATGTTATCATCATGCTTGAAAAGTAAGGAAAGAAGAAGAAGATCGTCCACAAGATGGACTGACCAGTGCCTGCAGCAATGGACTTAAAGCACAGTGTGAATTATGAGGATGGTGCAGGACGACTGTTATCTACAGGGTCACTAGAAGTTGTAGCTGACTTGACTGTACCGAGTAAGACCACCACTGCCTATACAATTATATTCATGATGTTGAAGCAGAATTACTAACTGGCCTTGTGTCTCCATGATGTCTCCAAAATAAATCAAACCACAGGATGCATGCACATGACAGCACAATGCCAGCCAACTGCTATGTGTATAGTTTTAGAGAACACTGACGCTGAGCTTTTATTATAATGAACATTTATTCTTCCCAGAATTGAGAGTTGTTCTTCCAGTTTAAATCCCTAACATTTGAAAACACAAAACAAAAATACCACAAATGTAAAACATTCCTTGATGCCAAATTACCATTCACCTTGCACAGCGGTCCCCACTGTTCACTCCTATTATCATTATGGCACTTGCTACAGTCTGACAGCTCCCCACATTAGTCAACTGACATTGCTGTCTTGAAGGACGACCAAACCAATAAAACAAAACCAGTTGCCACCAAGTAGCTCTAATTCATTGTGACCTCATGCATGGTTTTGTAGGGTTTTCATGGCTGTGACCTTTCAATATAGCAGATCTCCAGTCTTCCTTGGATCTGTGGTGCCCAGGGACGCTTTCAAGGTCAGCAAATCAAGGCCTTGTATTTGCCAAATCAGAATTTGCAAGAAAAGAAACTACCAAGACTTGGAAATCAGGAAAGGATTGCTAAGTGCTCTTGTAGTGGAATCCAGGAGTTATCTTGCAGACATTTGAGGGGTCACGGGTAGGGCGGGCAGGAGGGAGATCTGATTCTCTAGTGTGCACTCTTCTGACTGACATGCTAAGAATTAAGCTATGGTATCATATCTCTAACACTGCAGAAAAACTACAGTAATCCAAATGTTTCCTGTCTCATAAAATGCAGGTGACTGATAGCTTCCTTTCATAGTCATGCAAATAAAAATTTTCAGGAAAGAATTTAAATCTATGTCCAATATCCATAAGGAGGCCTGGTGGTACCATAGTTGAAGTCCTCAGATATTAACAGAAAGGTCAGCAGTTCAAATCCACCAGATGCTACAAGGAACAAAGATGAGACACACTGCTTCTGGAAACCCCGGTGGCAGGTCTACTCTGTTCTCGAGGGTCGCTATGAGTTGGACATGTTGATAACATGGGTGTTGAGTATGTGTGTACACACACGCAGAGCAAAAACTGGAACCTGTGTAAGAAGGAAATCTGTCAAAGAAACAAAATATATTTTCCACTAAAAGGAGTGACAGAAAAGTGGCAAAACTAAACTCTGGCAGAAAATTTGTGTGACCTGAAAAAACATGGTGGTTTCATCAAGTTCTGGCTCTCAATTTCAATATATATAAAATTGTGGAAATACGGTTATTTCCACATAGTAAAACACAGCACAGGTCAGTTCAGATCAGTCACACAAGTACCAAAGACCACATGTGGCTTGTGGCAGCCAGACTCGACAGTGCCACGGTACAGGCTCCAGCAGAGGAGGTCTAGAAGAAACTGAGACAAGGTAAAGAGGCCACAAAAATAAAGCAAAATGGTGTTTTTATAATTTTTAAAGACAAAGTTGTGGCTGCTCCTTTTCTCTGAAAATTAAACACCTTCAACAGCTTCCTGTTGACATGGAATAAACATAAAATTCATCGCAACAGCTTTCAAGGACTGATGTAATGATCCTTCCTCTAGCCTACTCTCACCTATCTGGAGAGTTTGGCCCATCTGTGCACTGTCTCACAAGTCCTCAATGCACAGTGACCAGAATTGCAGGAGGGAGGAGATGATGGCCCATCAAAAAGCTTACTCTGCTCAGGATCTTTGCATTCTGGTGAAGGCGTAAGACCTGGAAGAGCCACTCTGTGGCTCAGTGAGAGAGCTCTAGGTGTAGAATTGGAAATCGAGGCACTACCAGAGTACAGAATACAAGCATTCCAAAATTGAGGTAGCTGACTTGTGTGAGAATGGTCAGCCCAGGAATGAGGCTTGATTCCATCTTAACTTTTACTTGTCTTACAACCAGACTTAAGTACCTAACAAAGGGAACTATTTTCTCTGTGCTTAAACTAAAGGATAAGGAAAGGATATTCCTAAGAGAGAATCTTAAAAAAGATCCTTATCAGAATTTCCTCAGCATCCTTCAAAAAACGTTGTAAGATAATTAACCTTAACATTATCCTGTCAAACTCCCCTTTGAGACATATTTAAGTTAATCAATCCATAAGCCAGTGTGGATTTTTAAAAATCAATTATGTAAAACTTCTTGAGTTGTTTCACCTCTAGCTTCTCTGATCTTAGAACTTTCAATCAGAACATTGTATCTTTAGTTGGTAGTTTTACCTCATAAATATGCCTCTGTGACTATGACTTGTTGGGACATCTGAGATGTATGTACCCAGTTTGAACTCTTGTGGATCTTCGATAAATTTTAGCTTTTATTTTAACAGGGTAGTATGTGTTTTTGTTGCTAAGAGTCCTTTTTAGAGGGGTGGCATGTTAATCATAGGGTTGAACCATTCAATGGGGAAGAGGGATTAAGGAAGTGGAAAGGATCTTGTGTGAAAAACAATGTGTTTTAACTTTGTAAATCAGTATAAAATAAAAATTAAAATTTAAAAACAAAGAGTCCTTTTTATAGGGCTGCTACAAGATAGGTCTTTGAAAACCCTATGGAGTAGTATTTTGCTACTCTGTAAAACACAGTGTCATCTGAGTTGGAGTCAACTCCTAGGCAACCAGTCTGTTCCTTTTTGTTAAACAGATGAAAAACATCTGATTATTCATACGAGTAATGAAGAGAGCACAAAAGTTAATGCAAGCTAGAATGCACACAGCAAAACAGTCATTCACCACAAAAGTCAATATTCTTCACTTAATTTTAGCTTTAATTATTTTTTAAATTCTATTAAACACTCAGAGTTCATAACTTGATACATATCCCATGGAGCCCGCGTGGCACACTGGTTAAGTATTTGGCTGCTTACCAGAAGGTCAATGGCTGAATCCAGCATTAAAATAAAAATTTACAGCCTCATAATTAAGATTTACAGCCTCGGAAACTCGATAGGTCTCCAAGAGACAGACCAACTAGACAGCAATGGACTTCTTCTTTTTTAAAAATATACGTATATATTCTGGAAAGTGAATGATATCAAGATCCTATAACCACACATGAAATACAAATGTCTACGTTACTGACTCACAAGTTATGAACAAACTGCACCAAAGGACTGCTTTAGCAAGATGTAATCAATACTTTTCAAAATGTGTTATTTTAATATGTCATATCCAGGCAAAAGTGAATTCACTGTTATTAATATCCAATTAATGAATAAGCAGGCAACAATACAAATAAATAACTTACAGAAAGGAGTATCATTCATAGTATATACTCCAAGTCAATACTACTTTATGTAATATAATGCAAACGCATTGTCCTTTGTTAAGCAGAGCTATACCAAGAAAAAAGACAATTCATTAAACATTAATTTTGGATTCTAGAGAGCTAAAGCAAATTTTCCAGTAGATGAAAGATTAAAGCAAAGAAATCACTCTCAGGCTATCCAATGTTTACACTGAGCCTGAAGAATTATGTTTTGCCAAGAAATGCAAGACCAATTCCTTTAAATTCTCTTAAAGTACAACAAGCCACATGTCCAAGGGAATGTGGGATTAAATGTCTGGGACTCTAGTTATTTGAAAATTAACTAGTTAATATAGGAGCATCCTGTACATTAATAGCAGAGACCAGAAAAACATCTGCAAAGAATAAATATCTCTAACCAAGTGAGAGGGCTTGATAACCACAATAATATCTTAAACAAAAACAATAAAATGCAGAATAGTGCTAAGGATAAGCTATTTCTCATTAAGAAAAAGGAGAAAAAAATAATCTCTTTCATAAGAAACATTAACTCAGAAATAAAAAATTTTATCAATAGAGTTGGGAGGTTAGTGTAATTTTTAGTACTAAGTTTTTACAACACTTCCAATATTTCAGCAACGTAAGCATTTGATATCTTCAGAAAGTGACACTAATAAGGGGAGTAAGCTAAACTGAATATAAATAGATATAAGTAAACCAAAATATATTAAACTGGAAACACAACTAGAATTCATTCCAGTAACTTCTAATCATAACACCTTCACTATACAGACTTACAAAGACATTCCCTGAAGATAAAAGGCAGTGCCAAGATATCTTAAATTTTACTCAGTTGATTTATTAATGGATGTAATATGGCATCACAGCTTGAAAAACTTTTATGCATCTAGAATGGCAGAGCAAATATATTAATAGAATGGGGAACCATTAAACTGCAAGTGGTAAGATACAAACGCAACATATGAGAAGTTAAATAGAAAAAATAAAATGAATACACAGTTTGTAACATGAACTTTTGACCGCCAGAGGGGACGTACTTCTTGGCAATACTGCAAGATCCCCTCCTTGGTGCCAATGCAGGTCTTGGTCCCGGATGGGTCTGCCTCCCACTTCCCGTTCTGCACGTTCATGTGCATGTTCAGCTTTCCACAGAACATGGCAATCTGGGGTTCTGCCAGCAGACCAGCGTTTCCATCAGTGGGCACCTAAAAACACAGGATGTGGTTAGTTACAGAATCCATAACTCTGAGGAAGAAGCTCTGAGCAGCGCTAAAAAGAGGCGAGGAGAACTGGGAACACTATCAAAACTTGTTCTATTCTTCTCAATTGTGAATCAGCCCCGCTTTTGCTGGCAAATGAGGGAAGCCCTCAATGAGATGCACTGACACAATAGTGGCAATAATGGCTCACATGTACCAACGATATCCCAGGAAGTTTTCCTTCTGTTGTACATGTAAGGCTGCAATGAGTGGGGACCACTGACAAAATGTTACAGACACCTGTTACAACAATTAACAATATTCAAAGGAGCTTACTTATTAAAAAGTTTGTACTTTTCCCAGAGCACATTTTGCAAAGTCTACTGAAAGGTTCTGATAATAAAAGAAAACTTTATATCTGAAATAAAAATAATTACACGCTGACTCACATAAAGCATATCTCCAGGCCTGCCTGGTGACCCGGTCCAGAAGTAGAGTTATGCATCTCCTACCAGTGCTAAGAACACAGTGTAAGATGTCTAAGTGGTTGCATTATAAATGGACAGAAAAATTCCAACACTGTTGAATTAACTATCTATGACTGAATAAATTAAGACTTATCCACTTGGCTTTCCCCAGAGCACCGGCTCAGTTCTTAGGAGTATAAGAGGGCAGTATCCTTGTTCAGTTCCCTCATCACATCTTCTTAGCTCTTACCACTGCAGGAAGGTAACTTTGAAAAGGGTCTCTTCCATGTTTTCAAGACTTTATACAGACCCATCTGATGATGCCACCAGGTCAATTCTGATTCATGACAGCTCCATGAACATCAGAGTCAAACCACAGTATTTTCAAAGACTGATTTTTCAAAATAGATCACCAGGCCTTTCTTCCTACCAACCTCTGTGGACTCAAATTGAACTGTTGTTGTTGTTGTTATGTGCCGTCGAGTCGCCTGGGACTCATAACGACCCTATGTACAACAGCCCTAAACTCCGCTCTGTCCTGTGCCAATCGCACTGTCTCCGACACTCCCATCCCAATTATCCCAATCACTGAATCAATCCACCTCATTGAGGGCCTTCCTCTCCTGCGCTGTCCCTCCACCCTCCCAAGCATGATGTCCCTCTCCAAGGACCAGTCTCTCCTCACAACATGTCCAAAGTATGTTAGACGGAGCCTCAGAATCCTTGCCTCCAAGGAGCCACCCGGTTTAACCCTTTCCAGGACAAATCTGTTTGTTTTCCTAGCAGTCGATGGTATTCTCAATACTCTTCTCCAGCACCACAGCTCAAAGGCATCAATTCTCCTTCTATCCTCCTTGGTCATTGTCCAACTCTCTGATGCACAACAGGTGATTGCGAAGACCATGGCCTGTATCAGACGCACCTTAGTCTCCAAAGAGACACCACTGCTCTTCAGCACTTTGGAGAGGTCCCTAACAGCAGACTTTCCCATTGCAATGTGCCTTTTAATTTCCTGGCTGCTGGTGCCAAGACTGTTGACTATGGATCCAAGCAAACTAAAGCTGTGTACAATCTCAATCTCTTCACCATCCATCCTGATGCTGCCAATTTGGTCCAGTGGTGAGAATCTTTGTCTTCTTGACATTGAGCCTCAATCCGTATTGGAGGCTGCAGTCCTTGACACTCTGCAGCAGGTGCTTCAGGTCCTCTTCAGTTTCAGCAAGCAGGGTTGTGTCATCCGCATATTATCTGTTTACACCATTTTTTTAGAAATAGTTTAAAATGGAAAACAGACATTCTAAAATGTCTGTAAAAAGAGCTCACATGGTCTAGTGAAAAGACATGGGCTGCCAACCCTAAAGCACGTGGTTAGAGCCCACCAGCATCTCCATGGAATTAAGACGGGCAATTAACTCCTGTCCAATTTACTGCCTCTGAAAACCCACTGGAGGGTCAGCAATGAGTTAAGTCCAACTTGACAGCACATAATATCAACAAAATATCTGTACTACCTGACTTAATGGGTTCTGATAATACAAAAGAAAAATAATCAGAAAGGGTCTATAAATGATTCTACAGGAGAAAAAGACAGAAGACTCAAAAAACATGATGTGTATAATAATTCCTCTTTTGGCACAGAAGAAATGCATGACACCTGTGCAAAGAAAAATTGCCATCAAGTAGAATCCAGTGACCCAGGTGAGAGCTGGGTTACCCTATATTATTCCTAAAATAATTATTCACAGCCATAAAAAGAAAAAAAGGAAAAAAAAAACCACAGCAAACAAAAACCAAAACACCAAACCATAAAGTTGCACTGACAGACTTCACTTAAAGAAAAAGAATAGCTCCCTGACATTTCTTCCCACAGAAATGTAAAATTAGCTCAAACATCTGTCTATGCTAGGCATCCACATGTATACTTCGGTCAACCACAGCAGATCATTTATGTCCTTTGAAAGAAAACAAAAACAAAAACCAAAAACCCCAAAACAAAAAAATAGCCGGTTTTGCTCTGAATCCAGCTGTGTGTGGCCTAGCATAATCTCAAGTGCACAAGCTGCTGGTGAAGTCTGCAAAATCAAGTTCCTGTCTAATTCCAGACAATAAGGTATCAGTCTCACTGCTGTATAGTCAGAAATGAATCATAGCCTACCCTCCCTGGGATTTCAGAGTCTGGATATCACTCTGCAGGAGGCTGTTCCGCTTTCCCGAGATGCCACTAGTGGATTCAAACCTAAAAACTTTGACACAGTTGCAGTTTTGTTGTTGTTGGTATGTACCTTACTTAGAGTTGGAACTAACTCACAGCTGACCCTCCAGCAAGTTTTCAGAGGCAGTAAGCTGCAGAGGAGGAGAATGCCCATCTTTCCCCTGTGGGGCAGCTGGTGGATTCAAACCATATACCTTTTGGAGTTGGCAATGCAACTCCTTACTACTAAGCAGAGTTAACAATATTCTGCACCTATACTGCCAGATGTTTAGGCAACTCACATCCAACAGTAATTGAGTGCACCTTCTATCTGAGAAACCAATGGGTCTTTCCTTCCTTCAGCACTCATCACTTTCATCTTCTCTGCCACAAGGAATTCTTGTTGGAAGTCTTGTTCACCCTTAGGCATCTTCTGTCACCTTAAAGCATCCTTGTTCTCCTACTTCTCTGATCATTTCTTCACTGAGACACAACTCAATTCCACAGCATGAGGCATTCCTGAAAGGCCTTTAGATGTGGTGCTTCTCTTTTCAAGGCTTAGTGATTACATCTTATCTTACTCTTTCAACTCCTTTTGGCCAGAGAGGCAAGGCTAATATAACAACAAATGGTAGCAGCTAACATTTCTTGCTTTAGTCAATAGACCTACTAAGTATATGCCACACATTAGACACTGGATGTAGAAAAGTGAGTAAATGATACACATATCCTGACAATAGCTCACCAACCACTAAATCAAGCACGGTTTTGTTAGGCTATACAAACAGGGTGGACTGCAGAGCACCTAACAACACAAGGCCTTTCCAGAATCCCTGGAGGGCAGAGAATCCTAAATACCTAACTACTAACCAAAGAACTTGGCTTGGATGCAGGAGTTGCATCCACTTCCGAAAGAGCTTGCCTCGGGAAACTCTATGAACTTGGAGAAACAATGAAATGTTACAAGTGTTCAGGTCTTTTGTACAAAGGGTCGCAATGAGTCGTCTACGACTGGGTGGCTAACAAAGCAAAACAAAAAACCACCAAAAAACTAATGGTTTGAACCCACCTAGAGGTACTACTTTGAAAGAGAGGTCTGGCAATCAATCACCTTACAAACATCACAGCCTTGAAAAACTATGAGAGTTCTCTGCCCTGCATGGGCATGCTAGCAGTTAAAATGAACTCAACAGCAAACAACAACAAGGTCTTTACCAGGATGCAAAATTTCAACTGCTAAAAGTACAACCTAAGGGCAGATGGCCATGCCACTTGGTAAAGATATCTGATATATACTTCATTTATCTTCTATTTTGACTTTTTCCTCTGTTTTCTTCTGTTCCTCACTCTGCCAACCTTTCTCTGATATCTATTTACACAAGTGTGTGTTTGCTTATTACCATGTGTTGTTGTTGTGTACTAAATAGTTGGAACCAACTCACAACTGACCCTCCACCAGGTTTTCACAGTTACTCGTACAGGAGGAGATTGCCCATCCTTCTTCCACGGAGCACCTGGTGGATTCAAACTGCTTACGTTGGGACTGTAGCACAGATTCTTACCATTAAGCCACCAGAGCTCTCTTACTACCACTTAGTGGTTATTATTTTCACATCTTTTAAAGTAAACAGGTTGTATAAACTATCAGATTTCAGGAAAGCAACATTGTCTCATGAACCCTTCACTTAACAGTAAAGGCTAACATGTCTCTTAAAGTGGAAATGATATGCTTCAGTGACTTGGGAATATTCCAGTAGAAGGAATTCAATATTAGCCTAAAAAAGTATGTTAAGGGGAGCTCTGGTGGCCTAGTGGCAAGAAGTTGCACTGCAATCTCAGAGGTATATGGTTCGAATCCACAGATGCTCTGCTGGAGGAGGGGCAATGTCCTCCTGTACCAGTAAGATCAGATTTGACGGTACACACACACACACACACACACTCTCTCTCTCTCTGTTAGACTCTATTATCTCTGGTGGCCTAATAGGCACGGAACGGAGTTCTGCTGCAAATCCAAAGTTGTCATCCCCTCTGGCACTTCAAATCCACCAGCCCCTCCACATGAGAAAGATGGACAGTATCCACTTGTATGATTTAAAGTCTCTGAAAACCTGCTGGAAGGTCAACTATGAGTTAGTTCTGACTCGATGATAGTGAATGATAACGAGTTTCTTAAAACGGTGATAGTTATTCTTTGCAACTATGCTAATAAAATATAATGACTGCAGCTCACTCAAAAAAAAAAGGTGATAGTTACTAGGTTAAAACTAGATTCCTCAATAACCAAGATTACAGTTTAAACAAAAAAAATCATAAAATTGTATTTATCTACATGAGGTACATTTAAC